CCAACTGTGAAATCGTGACCTGAGCCGAAATGGGATGCTTAACCAACTGAGCCACCCAGGTGCCCCCAGAGTAAACTGTTTCTGATAACACTCATTAGCTTGAGAGTTTTTAGACAACATATGAAACTATGTTTTCATTAATCCTGACTTAATAAATACATTTTACCTAACGTTCAGTCTTCATTTTGGAAAAATTACCATGTTCATTATCATTTATAGTTCGGATTCCTTGTTGAACTTTTTATTTTGAGGTAACTGTAGATTTACATCCACTTTCAGGAAATAATACAGAGAGACTTCACATATCCTTTACCCAGTTGCCCTGGATGTTAATATCTTGCAAAACTTTAGCGTAATATTACAACCAATTCTGACATTGACACAGTCAGGATACACATGCCCATCACTATGGTGACCCTTGTTGTTGCCCTTTTATAGCCACAACTACCTCCTAGACTCAACTCCTGGCAATTACTAATCTGTTCTCTACTTCTATTAATGTGTTGTATCCAAAATGCTAAATAAATGGAATTTTACAAGGTGGCATACATTCTGGCTTTTTTTTTTTTTCACTCAGCATAATTTTTTGGAGATGTATCTAGGTTGTTGCATTAACATAAGTTTTCATTTTTCTGGGATAAATGCCCAGGAGTGTAATCCCTGGCTCATATGATAGCTGCATGTTTAATTTTTAAGCAAACTGCCAAACTGGTTTTTAGAGTGACTGTACCATTTTTCATCACCGCAAGTAATGTATGAGTGATACACATCTCTGCACTCTCAACAGCATTTGGTGTTGTCAGTGGTGTTTATTTTAACCATTCTGATAGGTGTGTGGTCATAGCTCAGTGTGATTCAATTTGCATTTCTCTAATGGCTAATGATGTCAAACATCTTTTCATGTATTTCTTTGCCATCTGCATACCTTCTTCAGTGAAACCTCTCTTTTCATGTCCTTTGTCTTTTATCTACCTGAATTATTATTATTTTTTTAATGTGGTGTTTTGAAAATACTTTGTCTATTCTAGATTCTAGTCCTATGTTGGATATGTGGTTTGCAGATATTTTCTCCGGCTCTGTAGCTTGTCTTGTTATCCTCTTGAGAGCATCTTTTGTGGAACAAAAGGTTTTAGTTTTGATGAAGTGCAATTTATCAAATTTTCCTTTAAAGGATCATACTTTGAAGGTCAAATCTAAGAATTTTTTGCCTTCACCTAGATCTCAGTGGTTTTCCCCTACCACCCCTCGAAAAGTTTTATAGCTTTATGAGTTAAATTTTGAATTAGTTTTGTAAGAGGTAAAGTTTTTTGTGTGATTTATTTATTTATTTATTTATTTATTTATATTTGTCTAAAGAAGCCCAAATGTCTCAATACCATTTGTTGAAAAGGTTTTCCTTCCTCCATTGAATTAATTTTGCACTTTTATTTTTGCATCTTAATTCTGAGTTGTCTATTCTGTTCTACTGATCTGTGTCTATTTCTCACCAATACTACACAGTTTTGAATACTGTAGCTATATGATAAGTTTTGAAATTAGGTATATTTCTCCCTTTATTATTCTTTTTCAAAATTGTTCTAGCCATTCTAGTTCATTTACCTTTCCACATATATTTTAGAATAATATTATTTATATCTTCCAAAAATATTGCTTGGATTTTGGTAAGAATTTTGTGAAATGTATATAGCAATTCATGGAGAATCGGCATCTTTACTGTGTTGAGTTAAGCTTCTGACTCTTGACTTGGGCTCAGGTCATGATCTCACAGTTTGTGGGTTTGAGCCCCACATTTGGCTCTGTGCTGGCAGTTCAAAGACTGGTTGGGATTCTCCCTCTCTGCCTGTCTCTGACTTATGCTCTCTCTCTCAAAATCAATAAATAAACTTCAAAAAAAAAAACCAAAACATAGTGTATCTTTCCATTTACTTAGGCCACCTTTCATTTACTTCATCAACATTTTACAGTTTTTTAAAATTTTTAAAATGCTTATTTATCTATTTTTTTTTAATTTTTTTTCAACGTTTATTTATTTTGGGGACAGAGAGAGACAGAGCATGAACGGGGGAGGGCAGAGAGAGAGGGAGACACAGAATCAGAAACAGGCTCCAGGCTCTGAGCCATCAGCCCAGAGCCCGATGCGGGGCTCGAACTCACGGACCGCGAGATCGTGACCTGGCTGAAGTCGGACGCCCAACCGACTGCGCCACCCAGGCGCCCCTAAATGTTTATTTATTTTTGAGAGAGAGACAGAGAGAGAGAGCACCAGTGGGGAGGGGCAGAGAGAGAGGGAGACAGAATCTGAAGCAACTTCCAGGCTCTGAGCTGTCAGCACAGAGCCCAACGCTGGCTCAAACTCACGAGCTGTGAGATCATGATGGAGCCAAAGTCAGATGTTTAACTGAATGAGCCACCCAGGAGCCCCTATAGTTTTTAGCATAAAATTCCTGTATGTGCTTTGTTAGATTTACATTTATTTCTGTTTTTTTTTTTTTTTTTGGAGATTATAAATGGCATTGTATTTTAATTTTGGTGTTCTTATATTCATTGCTAACATATAGATAATATAGTTGATTTCTATATTGATTTTGTATCCTGTGACATCATACATTGCTGAATACGATGCCTAGGGATATTAGCTCTAGGGATATGTTTCATTAGATTTCTTCAAAATTCCTGCACACACAATCATGTCATATGCAAATACGAATAATTTTTAAAATTCGTATGTCTTTAGTTTTATTGCATTTGCAAAATCTTCCATTACTATGTTGCATAAGATTAGTGAAAGTAGACATTTCATTAGTGAAAGTAGTATTCCTGTGCTTAGGGGGAAAGCATTCAGTGTTGCTTCTTTAAACATTTGGTAGCATTCTCCGATGAAACCATCCAGAGAAAAGTCTGGAGACTTTTTTTCTGGAGTTTTTAATTTATGAATTCAATTTCTCAATTAAAAAAATTAACATTTATTTATTATTGAGAGACAGAGACAGACAGAGCATGAGCATGGGATGGGCAGAGAGAGGGGGAGACACAGAATCCGAAGTGGCTCCAGGCTCCGAGCTCTCAACACAGAGCCCGATGCGGGGCCTGAACTCCAACCGCGAGATCATGACCTGAGCCGAAGCCGGATGCTTCACTGACTGAGCCACTCAGGCGCCCCAATTTCTTAATTTTTTAAATGTTTTTATTTTTATTTTTGAGAGAGAGAGAGGGAGACAGAGTGCAAATGGGGAGGGGGGGAGACGGGGAGCCGAGAGGGAGACACAGATCCAAAGGAGTCTCCAGGCTCTGAGCTGTGGGCATAGACACTGATGCAGGGCTGAATCCCCGGACCATGAGATCATGACCTGAGCTGAAGTCAGACGCTCAACCGACTGAGCCACCCAGGCGCCCCTATGAATTCAATTTCTATACTAGCTGTGGATCTATTCAAATCATCTATTTTCTGTAGGGTGAGTTTTGGTTGTGCTTTCAAGGAAATGACCCATTTCATCCACGTTGTCCAATTTATACATGTAGAATTGTTCACAGTATTGCCTCATTTCCCTTTTGAGGTCTGCAGAGACTATTGTGATATGTCTTGTTTCCTGATGTTAGTAGTTGTTTGTTATCTTCCTCTGAGATCTTTTTGATTTTTGGTATGACAAGTGATTTTTTTTTTATTAAAACCTAGATATTTTTGGTAATGTATAATTAGCCTCTTCATTTTATTTAAACATTTTATTTGGTACTCTCTGTATTCTTGCAGAGAAGGCCAGGAAGAGAGTGCCACCTTATTACATCCAGGTTGGGTACAATGCAAGTTCCCATTGATAATTGTTGACACTAGGGATGGGAAGGTTCTCCCTCCTGGTACTGGAGGGAGGCAAGTACCTTCCCACAGGGCTACTGCTGCATTATCCAGGTTGACAGGTATGGAGTCCCCTATTACTGCTCCCCACATGGCCTCCATTGACACCATTAGGGGTGCAGCCTCATTACCACTGACCAGTGGTGAATGTTCTGACTCTCCACTGACTCTTAGAAAACATCACATACACGGAAATGAAACAATCATGGGATACAAACCACCTATCAAAAAGAATCATGGAATTCAATGACCTATCAAAAAGAAAGCAGTAAGATAACAATACTGTTTTCAAAATAAAATCGTAATGGAGGATTCAAGTGCACACTACGCAAAGCTCATCAGATTTGAAGATAAATTAAGGAAATTTAGAGCAGAGACGAAATGGATATAAATTAAACAAAGAAACAAACAAATAAAAACAGATCCGAGGGGCACAGTGAGAGATGGCTATGCATTAAATATGATTTCCAGGGGGAGCTGGAGGGCTGAAGGGGTAGTCGGAGTATATGGGAAAGAAGCAATAATAAATAAATAATGGTAATCAAAATTTTAAAGTTTAAAGAGTTTAACGAAAACTTGAAATTTTGGACTTTAAAATTCTATTTCACAAAGAACAAAAGGAAAATAATTTTAAGAATCCATAAAAGTTATGAATTTTAAAATTCACAAAGTATACATTAAGAGAAATACAATGTAAGAACATGTAAAAAAAGAAGGGAATTATAATCTACTACTTACAGACAATATACTTTTCTACTTAGAAACTCAAAGAGAATTAGTCCCCAAAATACTTCAATTGGTAAGCAAGCTAAAAGGCCAATCTCAAAATCCATAGAACATTATGTATTATTCACATAATAATGATAACAAAGATAAAAATCATGTGGTTCTTACTGAGTCCAGAATTTTTGAAGTACTTTATAAGGACTGTCATACAGCAACATTATGAGTTAGTTATTATTATTATTATTATTCTCACTTTATAGCTGAAAAATTGAGGCATAGAGAAAGAAAATAACTTCTTCATGGTCACACAGCTGGTAAATGGTACATAAATAGTACATAAAATTTCTTTCCCTATAAACAAGATTAAAATCCACTAGGATTTTGACTCATATTAACATGAAAATATATTTTATTGGGAAGATGGTATTAATCACAGAAACTGAGAATAGAGAAGAGGAATAGGAACTTGCCGGGACATGTGGGTCTTGGCCCCAAGAGACGCTCTTCAGATGCCTCCAGTTTTTGCCGCATGAGTCTTTCTTCACAGCATCTGTGAGGAAGGGTCGATTGGTCCAGCTTGGCCCTGTGCCTGCTGCTGGGCTGGTGGTTGGGAGAGGAAGTAGGGTAGAAGTCAGTTGATTAAAAGCTACACTACAAACATGCAGAGTTAGATGAGCAGAGTTCTGCAAGGAGAAAGGGTGTAAGAAGACAAAAAGTATGTATACATTTGAGACCTGGTCTTTTGGGGGAGATGGCTAGTTGGGTTAGGCACCAGCAGGAGTGTATATCCGTTACGACAATAATGAAGGGATTGATTTCCTGCTGAAACCTGAACATAATATCTGCTTTAAAGATTACATGAGGGCACATTGAAGAGTCTTATGTTTGTAACTTTCTATCTAGGATTCATTTTAAGTGGCTTTTACTCTTTCTATCTTGAATCAAATCAAACAGATGACCCTGAATAGAAGTATACTCCAGAGAATTTGAGGGATCCAAATATTGTTTTTCACTCAGTCAAACAAGGGAATTTTGAAAGTACACTTCTTATAGTACCATCAGTCATGGTGCAGAAGTTTAAAAGTCATGGAAAGAACTGAATGCATAAATTATTGTCAGATTACTGTCATCTGTTTTAATAGTGTTGGGATGCCTTTTATTGGAGCTACTTTGATATTTATAGTGCCTTTAAAAAAGACCTTGAATTTAAAGATAAACTTCTGAAATAAATGTTTTTTTGTGTAAACTAGGATTTCTCAATCTTGGCACTATTGATATTTTGCGATAGATAATTCTTTGCTATGTCTGTGGAGTCTGTCTTGTGCATTATAGGAATATACCAGAATTTCTAACCTCTACTCATTAAATGCCAGGAGTACTGTCCCAGCTGAGATAATCACAGATGCTTCCAGACATTGTCAAATGTGTCCTTGGGAGCAAATAGTCCCTGGTTGAGAACTACTATTATAGGCAAAAAGAGAGGGAAAGAGAGAGAGAATTCTGGGAACACCTGTTTGGCTCAGTTGGTAGAGCACGGCACTCTTCATCTCTGGGTTATAGGTTCAAGCCCCATGCTGGGGGTAGAGATTACATAAAAATAAATCTTAAAATAAAAAAGAAAGGGAGGCACCTGGGTGGCTCAGTCGGTTAAGTGTCTGACTTTGGCTCAGGTCATGATGTCTCAGTTCATGGGTTTGAGCCCCACATCAGGCTCTGTGCCGACAGCTCAGAGCCTGGAGCCTGCGTCAGATTCTGTGTCTCCTTCTCTCTCTCTCTCTCTCTCTCTCTCCCTCCCTGGATCACTGTCTGTCTGTCTGTCTCTCTCTCTCTCTCAAAAATAAATAAATGTTAAAAAAAATTATAAAAAAAAAAAAAAGGAAAGGAAGAAATTCTGGACAATGCAATTAACAGAAGACCTTAACTATATATAGTAGAATATTGCCAGAGAAGGCTGAAAGGACAAAGTCCTACTGTTCTCAAAAGTGCTAACCTTAATGTTTTGTAGGAACTTGGCATCACACTTTTTGATTTGAAAATCATCCCAGGAAGTGGCTCTCAATGTGGATGCACAGTTAGAATAATCTGAGGGAATTAAAAAAATATATACTGACACTTAGGCCACAATCTAGAAAAATTATATTTGAAATTCTGGTGGTGGAACCAGAGATTTTTATTTTGGCGAAGGTCCCTCAAGAAATTTTAATATACAGCAATATAATATGCACTAATCTAAAGCAACTGTCCTTTAAAGTCCACCAGGACCAAGCCCAGGAATTTAGCACACTTGGATTTTTGCCCGATTATTCACAAGGGTCAAGGAATTGTAGCACATACAGAAGGTGCAAGGACAGAGTGTCTCAGGACACTGCTCCAGTGATTTGAAGTACTAAGAATCTGGTTGATCATTAAACTGCATAAAGGCAAGATACAATTAGCTAAGGTATTCTCTGATAAACTGGTCATCAAAATGCCAATATAATTTTATATGGGTCCAGGCATTGCACCGGTTTACTAGAAAGCTAGATATTACAATTTTACCATCATATAAGACATCCTTGGGAAAGTTTCAATTCTGTTGGTATACAGTTCTACACGAAGGACAGTATAAGTTCTACCAGGACAGTATACTGTTCTGGATTTAACAGCAGGCCTGATTCTATGTCCATCTATATTTAGCCTATGGATCTAACACCACCATATGTTTGGAATCACTTCTGATCATAGGAGGATTTAAAATAAACAATCAGGAGAACATATGAACTTTCGGCCAAAGGGACTTAAAATTTTTCAAAAATACTGCGACTGGATATTCTGGGTCAAGTTCCCCAGAAGTAGAGTTTTCCACGTGATTCTTGTTCCAGTGACCTTTTAGGGGCCACTTTCAGAAGACAAGGAGTGAGGAAAACAGGGCACTGCAGAGAAAAAAGACAACAAGCAAGACTGTGGTCTTAGGTGGAGACTTGCTTTAGCTTTATCCTAGAAGGGACACTCTGGGGACCAAATTACAGGGCAGATAAAGGCTCACCTTGAGGCAAGGGGAATCAATTTGTTGATTCCCTTTCAGTAAATCAATGGCTCATTGGTGGGGGGAGAAAAGTCTCCTGAGATTGTGTTTGGCTGAGTGCAATTCTCTGGAGAGGCATCTGGTTTGTTGTCAGCCACATGCACAGTAGCTAGGGGACCAGTGAATCCACTTACCAAGGGGATCTGGGCAGACTACCAGCAGCATTCACTGGTGTGTGCACCGTAATTACTTCTTTTGATGTTTTCTGATGCAGTATCCTATTTTAAACATAATTGAATCAGGGAATTAAGACTGACAATATAACATTAGGTTGTCTGTATTTTTTCATTACCTGAGCTATCTTCCCTATCATTTTCGGGGAGAATTTTTAGATATAGCCAATGAATGCTGGCGATAATCAGCTCACTAAAATAAGACCTCCTGGTTCCAAAATAAGAGGTAACTTTTATGTGGCTGATTCCTCCTCTTTTTACTGAGAAACAAAAATCCAAAAATGAATATTTCATAGAGCTTGTGTATTCATTTATTCAACAAATATTTATAGAGTACCCTGTATATACTTTATAATGTGATATAATTTGGGGGTATAGAAGTATGGAAAATAGATACTTTCTGGAGACAGTTCTCTTGGAGCTTTCATTATAATTAAGAGAAAAAGGCAACAAACAAATCAAAAGACAATACTTTATTTACCCAAAGACATAAAAACATTAATTCAAAAACATATATACACCCCTAGTTTATTGAAACATTGTTTATAAAATCCAAGGTATAAAAACAATATAAGTGTCCAGCAATAGACCAAAGGATACAAAAGATGTGGTGTGGAATATTATGTAGTCATAAAAAAGGATGAGATGGTACCATTTGTGATAATATGAATCGACCTAGAAAGTATTATGCTAAGTGAAATAAATCAGACTGAGAAAGACAAATAACACATGATTTCACTCATGTGTGGAATCTAAAAAAAACAAGTGAATAAACAAAGAAACAAAAAAAGCATAATCAGACCTATAAATACAGAGAACAGACTGATGGTTGCCAGAGGAGAGAGAGGTGGAAGGATAGGCAAAATGGGTTCAGGGGAGTTAGAGACACAGGCTTCTAGTTATGGAATGAATAAGTCACGGGAATAAAAGGCATAGCATTGGCAATATAGTCGATAATACTCTAATAGTGTTGTATGGTGACAGATGGTAGCTACACTTTTAATGAGCATACCATAATGTATGGAGAAGTCAAATCACCATGTTTTACACCTGAAATTAATGTAATATTGTATATCAACTATATTCAAATAAGAAATTTTTTTTAAAAAGATAATACTTTTTAGGTGGCAAGTGCTATAGGGAAAAATAAAATAGGTAAAAAAGGATGGATACTGGTGGAGATGGGACTGAATTAATGCTATTTTAGATGCTAAGGAAGGCTTTCTGTTAAGTTAACAACTACAGAGAGCTGAATGAAGGGAGTAAGCTCTGCAGATACAACATTGCCTGGCCTAGAAGTGTTCTGTTAAAAATACGTAACACAAGGGGCACCTGGGTGGCTCAGTTGGTTAATCATCTGATCTCAATCAGGTCATCATCTCACAGCTCTTGAGTTCGAGCCCTGCGTCGGGCTCTGTGCTGACAGCTCAGAGCCTGGAGCCTGCTTTGAATTCTGTGTCTCCCCCTCTCTCTGCCCCTCCCCCACTGGTGCTCTGTCTGTCTGTCTCTCTCTCTCTCTCAAAAATAAGTCAGCATTAAAAAAATTAAAAAAATACATAACACAAAATGCCTCAATAAATTCAATGGTGGTTTTCCATCAACAAATGTTAAGGCATGGACAACTATTTTAGTAAACATGGTAAAACAGCAGTAGTTGTCTGTCACATCTGGTCACTAATAAGATGTGTCTGAGCTGTACCGAAGGCGTAGGGACATCAACATAGATATCATGGTTATTTGAAAAACAAATATATTCACAATCTTTTGTAAGAAACCACCAACAGTATGCAGTAAAGTCTAGTGCATGCTTAATAAAATAAACCCCCTTTATTTAATTATAAATTTACAGGTTGAGTTTGATTAGAATTTAGTGTTTATAAAACAATTTTTTTTTTTTGTTAAAGGTTTGGGAGCATAAAAGAGGCTGTTGATTCTAAAAAGCCTCACTTAGAAGGACATTACAGGTTTGACCTTAGGAAAACAGAAAACAACATGACTACATTTTATGATTATCAAAGGGATGAAGGAGGAAGTCAAATGAAACTGTTCATAGTATCTCATAAAATGAATAACGCTTTGAATTAAACTGTGGGCAGTGAACTGAATATCAATTTAATTTATTAGTTATGTAGGAACTAAAATTTCAATCATTTATAGCACTTTTCCACTTACTGCCTTATACACTCTTAAAGCTCCTAGAGCATCCTGATGGGGAAAAAAAGATTTTGGAACCTACTTAAACAAATTTTCAATATGGACAGCCTCAACTACTTAGCGAAGCTTTAAGAAACTCAGTCGCCTCAAGAGAAGCTAGTTTTGATGCAGAAATCATAGTGCTATTTCTTTCCTTAATCATATCTGCTCATGTCTAAAAATGTGTCACAAGCAATAGTGTAGGTTGCATATGGCAGTACTGAAGGATTGTTGGAAACCTTGACTGTTTACCAAAGAGCATAGTTTTGTCTTATTTCGAGAACAATAGTAGACTAGCCTAATCATTAATGGAAAGCCAAGCCAAGTTCCTACTGCACTTTCCTTTGTCAAAATTTGAGATCCTTTTATTCCTCACCACCAGATTTCTGAGTGAAATAATGTCCTTGGGAATAAATGGACATACTTAGTTTCTAATAATATCATTTTGTGAGTCAATTATTTAGAGTGTTACGAACAGATGGTTTAATCAGAGAATTGAAGCAAGTAGACTTGCCCTAGTCCTGTATCATTGACAATACGTGGCTTCACAGATCTAATGAGACTCCTTGAATTTTGACTTCTGAACCAGAAATTGTATGCTGCTGAAATGGTTACATTTGAAAAAGCTCAGATTGTGTGTGCTGCTGATAGTATATGGGCCTCTCCTCAGGGTTTACTTCAGTAATATCTGTGTTCAAATAGGTTAAAGAGAAATCGTGACATCTGAATTATTTCCAGAATCTAAAATATTCCCGTAGGCTTGAAGAAACCTCAAAAAGTACTCTTAAACCAGTGGTTCCAGAATAAATATGTTCACATGCAATGTTAAGCATGCCTGTTATAAATAAACATTTTTTAATGATTGCAAAAAGAACTTTAGGACCTTGGTAGGGAATTCCACTTCACGTTCACATCCTCAAGTCAAATACGTGTGTCTTGAGATGAAATTCTTCTCTAAGTCAGACATATTACCAATGGGGATTCTATTCTACTTTATATTAAAAGTGTGGGTCTGCCCAACAGGATTTTTTTTTGACAATTCTAGTGTGACTTTTTTGATATTAGAAATAAGTAGCTAAAAGGTCTTCTTGAAAACAATAACAATTGACTCCTGTGTTACTAAGTAAGGTGTTCACAATCCTTAAATGAAAGTGTTGGTTAGAGAACATGAATTAGAATCCATGATACCTTTTTGATTGGTAAGTATGCTACTTTTTGTACATTTTTATACCAATTAATGAGATTCCTAAAAACAGATTAAAAGATAAAACAGAATTTGCAGACACCGTAAGCACATTTTTTTGAGTCACTAAGACATGGTGAGTTTTCATTTTTCTTTCAAATGCTGAAAATCAGAAGGACTGTGACTCACCTTTAAAGGATAGATGAGTTTTAAAAATTTGTGAGCAGTTTATGGGGTGCCGGCATGGCTCAGTCAGTTAAGCATCTGACTTCGGCTCAGGTCATGATGTCACAGTCCGTGAGTTTGAGCCCAGTGACGGGTTCTGGGTTGACAGCTCAGAGCCTGGAGACTGCTTCGGATTCTGTGTCTCTCTCCCCTGCCCCTGCTTGTGCTCAGTCTCTCTTTCTTTCTCAAAAATAAAAAACATTAAACAAAATTAAATATTTATGAGGAGCTTCTATAGAATGAAGGATATGACTCTATAGGCTTTTTCAAATTACACCAATTCAGTCTGAATCTATTCAGGCTTGAACATCTAACTACACAACCCTTTGTCAGGTGATACTACTTTTTTATGGGAAGAGAAATCCAAGTTCACTTAACCAGATATTCTGTAAGATATATTTATTAACACTGGGAATAGGGCCTCAGGGAAGTTAAGTTTCGCATCTATATTGAAAGTCGACGTGTGTGACTAAGATGAGACCAGGAAGCAGGAGGAGGAAGATAAGTGTTTTTGGAGAATAAAGACTCATGTGTCTAATATTCTGAGAGTGTTGTATTTCCAAGTATTTCTAAAAAAAAGGTTAATTTTCAGAAACTTTAAGTGAACACATTAAGCCTTTGGCTAATAAACTCTCAGATAGGAAAAGTGTAAAGGAAAGAAATCAGAAACGTGACCAGGAAACATGGCAGGTGCAAGCTGATCGCTTTGACTACATTTTCAAATAATATTCCTTTGTAAAACTTTACATGCTAGCATAAAATTGGAGAAATGAGTATGTGTAAAACAGGAGAGGAAAAGGTTGAAGGTTAAATTATATATAATTTTCCCTAACTAACGACTTGGATTCCCCTCCCTAGGCTCTCTTGCCCTGTTTTTTTTTTTTTTTTTTAATTTTTTTTTCAACGTTTTATTTATTTTTGGGACAGAGAGAGACAGAGCATGAATGGGGGAGGGGCAGAGAGAGAGGGAGACACAGAATCGGAAACAGGCTCCAGGCTCTGAGCCATCAGCCCAGAGCCCGACGCGGGGCTCGAACCCACGGACCGCGAGATCGTGACCTGGCTGAAGTCGGACGCTTAACCGACTGCGCCACCCAGGCGCCCCTTGCCCTGGTTTTTAAAACCTCACTATGCCCCTGATTGAAATGATTTGGTTTGAAAAACAGGGTTGAAGACTAAAAACAGCAAGCTTTAAGTGCAAGCGGATCCTATAGTTTTAAACACACTTGTTCATAGTTGTTACTATTGTTTTAACTAAAGACTAACTAAAAACAACAACAACAAAACTAAAGATACAGGGGACAATCCAGGAAAATGTCAGTTGCTCAATATTAGCTCAAGGTTTGGCATTTCCTCCTTCATACTCAGAGTTATGGCTCTTTTCTCCTTCCCCAAGTCCTACACTCTGATATTGACCTTCTAGCTCTTCATACTCTACAGTCAGTGAGTAAAGGGGAAAGGGAAGGTCCTGTGGGTTACCTTCCCCCCACCCCCACCCCAAAGACCAAAGATGACCTTCCAGACAAGTGCATACTTTATTTTGGCTAAAGATTTGGCTTCCAATTCTCAGGCGGTATGTCACAGTGGTGAGCTGAATGGGGCCATATATTACTCCCCAAGGACATTTGCGATCGATCCTCTTGCCTAAGGCCCAAAGTAAAAACAAGCAAAGTGTCGCCATTTATTACTTTCGCTAGCATGGTTGGTGTTTTTCAATATGTGATACACGGATCAAAGTTATCTGAATCCCCTAGGATGCAGGCTAAAAGCGCACACACTCACTCTGTATCCTTCACTTCCACCCCATACACATATAATGAGTCAGAGTCTGTGGAGGTGGTTTCTGAAAGTCTGCAGATTCAACAGTCCATCGAGGTGATTCAGCACCCTGAAGGCTGCTGGTAGCTCTGCTCCAAGAGCCCCTCGTTGTGGTGTTTAAGGTCTTGCCCTCAGGCATGAAGTGACCCAAAGACTTATCAAAGGAAAATGGGAGTATTTGTCTAAATCCACCAGCAGTTAAACTCACCTTACTGAGTTGTCACCTAGTGTTTCTTTGTTGTCTGCATCCTCAGGGAGGAATGGAGAAAATGAGTATCAGGCACCGACCTACTCTAAAATTCAAGGGGATACACATGCCCTGTGTCTAGATACTTAAAGATGATAAATGAAGCCAATAAGCTGTTAAATAAAATGTTTCACCTCCTTCTTTGGTAAACATTCCTTCAGAATGTCCTGAAAGGTCAGGTCTAGTTCAGAATTTTCAGATTCCTTGAAGTTGTACGTGGGGTACTTTGTGGCACAGGCAGAGCTGACGGCAGACACATAACCTCCAGCCCATAGCCCACCCTTTCCATCTCAGTCTGCCCAAAACTATACTTCGAGGGGTCTTGCACATATACCAGTGGATACCACATCCTGAAAATATAAGTGCCATTGTCTCTAACCACACGAAGAGCTACTCTATGGCCACGGCCAGTCTTCGGGCCTCACATTTGTCCTTGGAGGAAAAGGCCCTTGCGGCCTGTGGAAGTGAAATATGGGCTACTTTCCATGGGCTTTCAGAGGTAGTGCAATGGGCTCTTGTAAACATGTCCCCTTGGCCTCACACCTTCTCATCCTATGAGAAACGGGGTGGCTAGTGGAAGGCCAGACCAGGACTTGATAAAGCACAAGCTGCAAGGCAGGGACTCGGGGCTATCTTCTGTGCATGGTTGTTAAAATTTAAATAGTATCTGGTCTAAGTTTCTGACTGATTTATTCATTTATTCAAGTAATTTTTGAGCTGTATAAGTATTAGCTTAAACATTGGGATACATTAGTGAGTAAAACAGACTAAGCCGTTGCTCTTATGGAGCTTATTTTCTAATGGATTCTTGAGTCCCATGTACAAGATACCTAACATCTGCTGTCTGAAGACAGTCTGAACATATCCACTGATAGGCAGTTCACTTTCTTTCATTGTTGGCCACAGTTTTCACCTGACTTTTTTTTCAATTGGATATGTGGACACCTTCCCAAGATAGTAAAAATTCCAGCTGGGAAACCCTTTGTTGTATATGGAAGAAAACACAATTTCAAGGAGATAATACTTTTTCTAAAGCCGGGGAAAAAATAAAGAAAAATGATACTATATTTTGAACTGCTTCTTGATTATGATTCTGCTGTCCCAATTAATGTGATATGCTAAATTTGTTTTTAATAAAAGGACAAACCAGGAGTTTTTTTAAGAATTTCTAAACTCGTAATATTTTAAAAGTTTGTAAACTTAAGTTGGTGGACTCCAGTGATTTGTGAATTGAAAATACTTTAATTGCTGTTTAAAATATACCAAGATATGAGTTATCTATGCAAACAGCAATCACAGTATCCAATTTCATATGAGAAACTGAAGTTAAGATATTTTAAATATGGTAAATAAATCTTCTGGATTAATTGACAACTCTCAAAAAATATCACCAGGCAAACCTGTTGATCCAAAAAAAGCTAAGTTAGTGAGACTTAGCGCAGTGAAGGTAAATAGTCCCCCAGGGGTGTCTTCGCAGTGTTTCAGAAATGAGAACTCTGGGGAGGATATGTATCATGGTTAAGGCCTTGGGTTATTTTAGTAATCTTAAGAAGTTTAGGACCTGGGTTGGGTGAGTTTCAGGTGAGTCTTGCAAGATGGAATACTGGTTGGGATTAATAGAGTTTGTGACATAGTAGTTTTGATTGGCAGGCATACAACAAAAGGGTTTTTAAGTGCATACTGATGAGTACGTTCATTATCATATTGTCCAGGAACAAGTACTTTTCCAGAAGGTGGCTAGGCTATTTTTACCAAATCCCTGAGTTGTTTAGATTGTTTAGCACAAAACCAAGAATGTGTGCTTTGTACCAAAACAAATTAGCATGAAAACAGAAAAGTGTGGTGATTTCAGTTCTAAAAAATTAGTTGAACCTTAGCATGAAAACAGAAAAGTGTGGTGATTTCAGTTCTAAAAAATTAGTTGAACCTTAATTTTTTTTCTTCTAATAAATCAGTGTTGTAGAGAAGTTGAAAGTGATTTAGGTATATTTCATTTAGTAAGAAAGGAAACAACAGCCTAATCCGCTTCTCATTTATATGCAAACATATGCCTACACAGTCAAATAATCCAATTAATCTTCCATTTCTACCAGCCATACTAATATTTCATATTTCTATACACTGTTTTTTTAACCAATATTTCTTTTTTTTCTTGAATGTCTTGACCTCTAGATAAACCTATGAGTGAAGGAATAGCAAATTCAATAATAAAGAGCACAATCTTGAGAACTCTGGGATTTATGATTGATTTTGATTTTTCTGCTTTTGACCAGGTCTAATCCTACCATAAGAATGACTTCCTTGGGGCGCCTGGGTGGCGCAGTCGGTTAAGCGTCCGACTTCAGCCAGGTCACGATCTCGCGGTCCATGAGTTCGAGCCCCGCGTCGGGCTCTGGGCTGATGGCTCGGAGCCTGGAGCCTGTTTCCGATTCTGTGTCTCCCTCTCTCTCTGCCCCTCCCCCATTCATGCTCTGTCTCTCTCTGTCCCCCCCCCCACACAAAAAAGGTGAAAAAAAAATTTAAAAAAAAAAAAGAATGACTTCCTATAAGTAAGGAAGATAAAGAATTCAAATTTCTTTGCCTCAGAGTCTCAGCTCTAGGAAACTACCCAGAAGCTGCCCTTGAGCTAAAATTGATGTGCCAAGAACACCCTTGCACTTCCTTTATTTGACGCTAAAATAAATCTGCATTAGGTACACAAGAGCAGTTAGGAGAACTGGCTCAGCTCTAGCTGCTTTCGAATTCATGTGGACGCAACTTCCTCTGAGATTCATATCCTTCTGTTACTCTTGGTGAGCAATTATCAGTGTTAGGCTGGCTTGTAACAACTTTAAAAACAAGCATTTAGGAAATTGAATCTGGTATTAATCTATTAAGAATGATAAAACTTTCTGTGTTGCCTGGGTGGCTCAGTCAGTTAAACATGATTTTAACTCTGGTCATGATCTCACAGTTCATGAGTTCAAGTCCCACACCAGCTCCATGCTGTCAGCATGGGATTCTGCTTCTCCCTCTCTCTCTCTGCCCCTCCCCTGCTTGTGCTCCCTCTCTC